TCGGGTCGCGACCAATTCGGGTTGCGACCAGGGTCACAGAACGAATTAAGTTCGTGACCCGAGGTACCACTGTACTATTCTGTTGTAGCTGAATTTTGGCTAAGAAATTTTATTATAAGTTAAAATTTAAAATTTTAGGTTCTGTCTAGGTAGTAATAAAAAGTTTCACAATGTTTCTAATAGTTTTTTAGACTTGTGTTAGAACACTATTCAGTTAGTTTTGTTTTTTGACACTCAGAAAATTTGGTATAGACATGTTACAAGAATATACATCCTTGGTTGAGTTGGAAATTTGCAACAGAACTTGTGGTGAGTGTAATCTTGACAATAGGGTCAGATTACAGCTACTCAGTCAAGTCTTTAATATGAGCCGTGAATTATTTCAAGATCACTTTCTTCTAGATGTCCTAGAAGGCTTCAAGAAGGAATAAAGAACCTCAGCAGGTTATTGCATCAGCAAAGCAACGTGCAACAATCAAAAGCCTGAATATTTTTTTCCTGCCCCCTTTAATCTGTGTTTTTCTATCTTCTTATGCTTGTATATTTATTTTAGTTCTTTGTTTTTAGTACTTTGGAAACCAGCTTGGCTGAAAAACAGGAGGTAGCTTTAACAAATACCGATTTCTTTGGTCAGTCACTTAAGGTCATCCTCTTGGTGATTTTTGCTTAGCAAGGAGATTGATGGCATTCTTATAAAGCTTTTTTTTTATGCTTTTCAAGTTCTTCAATTCACTTTACAAACAGTATTCAAAATACATATTTTTGTAAGAGTTCTGGTAATGATTCCTTTAATGTTTACTTTTTAATATCTATTATCAAAGGAACAATTCCTGTAATGCATGCATGCACATGCACGCACACACACAAACACATATATACACATACATACATACATACATCACACATGCCCATGATGCTGTTCCCTTTTATAGTGAGTAATGTTGTTCAAAGTCCAGAAAAGAAGTAAGAAATAAGGAACTAAAGCTATGCAGTAAGAGAAAAGGAAAGGAACTGGGGGAGATGGGTGGCATAAATTTAATAAATAAATAAATCTAGTTGACCACAACATTGTTCATATCTTTTCACTTTGTTCCCTTTCTTCAATGTCCATTTTTCCCCAGGTCACATTTGACACTGCTAAGAAATAGTCTATCCATATTCAGAACCTCTCATCATCTTTGTATCCTTTACTAATTCTCTCAGTACTTCATCAGAAACAATCAAATCAATCATGCTTTTAGATTTAAATTCTTTCCTTTGCCATAAATAAGCTTATATTGCATATTTGATACAGAGCATTTTTTAAACAGGTATTCCCCAACAATCCCCATTCTCTTTCATTCTTGGGTCTCTGAATAGCTGAATCATTTTTCTGTACTCTCTTGTCTCATTCCTGTCGTTTGTTTATGGCTGCTAACATAATTTTTCTTATTGGATGACATACAATCAGAACCTTGCACAATTTTTATCAAAAGTCATCTCTGATTCTTTCATTGTCACCATTCCATGGAATGGAAACCAATCATCGCCAATCTGTGGATTAGTACTTTTGTACTCACCCACAATAATCTTTATTATATCATTCTATACTTTATAACATATGTTTTAGTCCTTTCATTCTTAATTAAACTTACACATGCTTGTATGCATTCATACATTCAGTTCCACTCCACATCTGTACTTCCCTGCATGTATTACTATATTCAGCTCCATTCTACAGGATCAGACCACTTTCATTCAGATCTATTACATATTTGTCATTTCTCTTAGTTTCACCAACATGCCACATCCTATTTTTATCTATAAATGTATAGATATATCCTAAATATAGACTGCCAAAAATTTGAAAAATATGTGCGTGTTGACAGCAATAATAAGAGAATATTATATAGTCATACAAATGATTTTCAATGTTGACATGACATTATGAACTCTGTACAGTAGATCATATAATCAGTCAGAGTAGAGCAAAAATCTTGACCTAATGAGCCACAAAAAAAAAAAAAAGAAGCTTCCTATTTATGACAACTAGTTTTGTATGTCTAATGAAAGCAAATCAGGTTAAAGGCTAAAAGAAAGATAGAACTGAATCTGACACTTTGTATGTCCATCAAAAAGAGAAAATTAAAAGTGTGTTAATTGCTTTCTACCAGGACTGGTAAAATTGAAAAATGCTTTGGACTGCTCATTACTCATTGATCCTATAATACACACTATAATTAGTAAGAGGGGATTTAGCCATGCCTCCTGCATGGATGCAAAGCCCTAAGTAGCCAAAGAGACGTCGTTTCTGAATCAGACTGATTAACAAAGGGAATATTCCAGAGTTCAATAGCTTAAAAATGGCTTGGCACAAGATTGTACCAATCTAACCAGTAGAATTTTTTCTTCTTTCAATAGGAGGTGCAAAACCTGAGGACCAAGGGCTTATGTAGCCCATGAAAGACTTGGTGATGGCCACCACAGACACTGAAAATTGTTACAAATTGTATTTTTTAATGATCTGATGCTTCACAAATCTAGATAGTGCTTCTTTATCGGGAGAGGACGTTTTATGGTTTCATATAGGATGCCACATAGCCCCCAAATTGATCAGACAAGGTCAGATAGCTTCTGGGATTTTTAAAAGTATGTTGCTTTAGATTTAAATAGTATCAACGGTGTCTAACATTTCTTGAGCAGAGCATTTGAAAACTAAGATTAAAACTGAAATACACACATGCATACACATTTTGTATGTATAGTAGCATTTATGTTATTGATGTGCTAATATCAGCTATGATATTGTCATCTTTAGATTTGGGGTTATTTTTCAGACCCAATTAAAAGTGGATTTTGTTGTTGTTGAAATCTTTAAGGGCATTCATAACTTAGGACAAGGTAACCTAAAGATTTTCTCCATATATATTTGCCTTGATTCTGAGATAATTTTTGGAAGCACTTTCCCAAGCGTCCACAGAAGTGTGCTGATGTGTGGTGGCTTTTGCTGTGGCTGCAGAATTGCCTAACCCCACCTTGTGAGGCTTATTTGACAATTGCTTGTGAATTATTTCAATGCTTTCTGTTTCTGTTTTCATCCTCTTTGTTTTTGGATTGCTTTATACTTTTATTGATACTTTCATTTTTAATGAATTTTAATTTATTTCTTGTATTTATTAGCCCCCAAACTTTGTTACAGGTGTTATCAAAGTGGTTAATAATTAATACGAAAATAAATCCAAACAGGAGCCTTTGATCAAACATGTGCTATTTGAGTGCATGAATTAAAATAATAGTTGTACAATACCTTTCTATTTTATCAAGAATTCAACAGTCTTCTCTTGAAAATAATCCATCTCAGAGAAAAGATATTCTTAATTCATCAGACACATTATATGAAGCTCTTTTAAATCTTAATTCAGTCTGAAAAAGATTGTGAAGACCATTACCAAGAAAGGACAAATATTTATTTTATGTATTTTTTTGCTGATTTCCATTGGTGCAGGCAAAGAAATGAAAGGAGAATGTCCCAATTCAGTCCAATTTAATTTGAAGGCAGTTGTTGCAGAAACACTTGAATGTGATGGGCATGTAAGTACTATTTTTATGATCTCTCATAAAGTCTATTTGAGAGATTAATCCGCATAGGGAAGCGTATCATTCCTTTTCCTTATTTCACCTAATGACTTACAGAAACATATCACCAGCTGTTAAGCGTAAGTTACAATGCCTTCTTCTGATTTTTTCCCAAAAAGCTAAATGAGAATATAGATTCTGAAAATTGAAGTCTACCTGTAAATTTTCATTATTCCAAGTAAAACAATTACATCATTCCTGCATCTGCATAAAATTTTTAAGAAAATCAAAGGACCTTTTGGCCTCAGTTTGCTGGAAAGCAAACTATTAGAAATAAGCATGAAGGAATTGATACCAATCTTTTTGCACTGCCATATGCATTTATGAATAAATATAACTATTATAAATTATAAATATAACTAATAAAAATAACTATTCATTGTTTGACAGTGATTCCTTAGTTTAGGTTTGGAACATAATTCATTTTTTAAAAACCATGCACGTAGTATAAAGAATCCTGTGCTCTCAGAACCAGGTTTTAGCAGGTATATTCTTAAGAAGGCTAGGAAGCTAAGGAACAGTTAGGTATCATGTGCAGTTCACTCACCTTTTCAATATTCCAGGTTCTATATGTACTTGATGCCCCCTTTTCCATCCAACAAATCTCACTGAGAATTTAACTTTTTAAAAAGAACTCTATACATGTACGCCTAATAATTCTGTGCTTGGTACACTCTTTCTATATGGGATGGTTGTCCTCTTCCACCAAGCACACAGTTTGTTGATTTGGTCTTAGATCATAAATTGATAATAATATTCTGTGTTCACTAAGTGAATAAGTATATTTGAGGCTTATTAGAAAATTATATCATGCAATATTAGAATCATTTCTGAAATCATATATTTTTGTTCCATAGGAATCTTACAGCAAACCACTTGGAGTTACCAGAAAACAATTGATTCAAGGATGTTATAAAAGTAATAGCGACAATTTGGAGTGAGTCTTCCTTTTTTTTTTTTAAAGAATGGAAGGATCACATTCTCCCACATATTTATTGATACCTTAAGATTGTCTTTGGATATTTTTCTGTAGATATGTTAGCCTGTAAAATGTGGTGAGTGGATGGCTACTTGGAACATATTATTCTCAAAGACAGTACAGTATCTGGTTTTAAAAATTTTAAATTTTAAAAATTCCTTTCCTGGAGCAGATTGCTTTATATATTTTCCTAGTATTGTTAATGTGTCTTTAACAGCTTTTTATGATTTCCTAAGTAATATCTGTTGTTCAGTTTGTGAGTTTGTAGTATTATATTATAAATTTTAATTCTTACTCATAAATGCTCATACATTTCAAAGATTTTAACTTTTTAAAATGTAATCAGCCCAAATAACTTTTTTGTGGGAACATGATATAAATAATATATATAACAAAATCATTAAAAGTGCTTGCAAGCAAATGACTGTTGTTGTTTTGTAATTTCTGTTAGTATTTTGTAATTTCCTTTAACATTTATTTATTTATAAAATTTAACTCTGTTCAGATTTTCAGACCCATCTGAGGATCCTTCCCCACCTACAACATGGGGTTCCAAGATACCTTCTCCTGTGTTCGGGGCAGCTGGCAATGTTAAAAGCAGCTTAGGCCTAAGCATAAGTCTCTCCCCGTCTGTTTTAGCAGCAGAGAGAAAATCAAATCTGAAAAACAGCCCCATCAACAATTTTTCCCTTTCAAGATCTGAGAAAGTAAGATCAAAATCTGAAGATGTTCCTTTTGTGAGCCTTGGGACTGAAATAATAACAGTTATCAATCAAGCTCCAACTGGTAGGCAAATGGCTTTGAAACAGAATACAGAGGAGCCCATAACATGTGTGACCAACACGCATCTGGATAAAGATGACATCATCAAGAGTGGCTTCCTTCTTGCATCACAGAAACTGTTAGGAAGCAGATGTTCTAAAAGGAAAAAAATTGATGAGAAGAGCAGCCATGTAATCCGCTGTGAAAAAGAAAATGCTTTCCCATCCTATGCAGATATTTCTGCTATTGCCAGAGATAACACAACTGATAAACCTTTAGATCTTTCTGATCGCTTTTCTGGTTTTCACTGTGAAAAAATAAGTACCGAGAGCTCCAAGATAAAATTGAGGCAGGCAACTCTCCATGATGTTTTTCAACCACTAGTGAAAGATTCTTCCTCTAAAATCACCAACAGTAATTATTTAATGAACAAAGATTCACAAGAGAATCCCTCCATACAAGAAGCAATCCTGAAATCCCTTAGCAAAGTGCCCCCAGTGAAAGAACATGAAGTAAAAATAAAAGAGGAAATTGCTAATTTTTCTAATCCACCTTTGTCAGATGATGAAGATAGGAAAGTAAGTATGTGATTAAGGCTTTTATCTATAATATACCATCATCTGTAGCCTGAGTTTCTTGAGAAACTGAATTTACTTTTACTGAAAGTAAACTGAAAGTAAACTGAATTTACTCTGTACTGAAAATTAGTGCAGAAGTTGTTTAAATTCTTAATTATTTCGATAGGAGGTTGCTGGTGATCATGAACCAATAAATAAGAGAATAAGATCAGGACATGGAATGGGTGAACCGGCATCAGTACTTCAGCCAAATCCTTGCAGAGTGACAAAAATCACAGAGCTCGACAATGAACAAGGTATCTTTTTATTCATTAATTTATAAATGAGTAGGACTATCACAGTGCCTTGAGTCTAACCTCTTTGCTGGTATTACTATAACCTAAACATGCTTCCAGTTACAGATCTTTCCATGCTATCTTTGTTCATGGGATCTTCTCTTAATTTACTGTTTGCGTACTCTTTTTTAAAGCTTGCCATGTTTATGATACCTAAAGGGTATAATTATTACAGGCTAGAATTTGTATTTTATATTTGATTATGTGTGGAATTTTGTTACTATAGAACAGTCATTACACTTAAACGTTCTGTTTTCTTTTCAAGATAAAACATCTTTGGAAAATGTGCAATGGAGTATAGATCCAGGAGCTGACCTTTCCCAATACAAAATGGACGTTACTCTGATTGACACAAAAGTAAGCAATTTTAAAGCTTTGCTCATTAAACTCACTGAACAAACTAAATTGTTGATCTATTAAGACTGAAATAAAACAGCTGTATCATTTTCTTTCTTGAAAGTAAATTTTAGACTATAAATTTAAATATAAATATAAAATTATATACATTTAATCACTGATATTGCAAAGATTTACAGCTAATCCCTAAATGAAACTTTTTTACATTGAAACAGTCCTCCTTGTACAATCCATGTAGGGGACTGTTGTTTCATGTTATCAAAATTTCTAAACTCATGTAATGATTACCTACCAAGAAAATTATATTCCAATTTCTCGTGCAAAAAGTTTTCCCTAAGTCTATCTTCTTTCCCTGAATATATCTTCTCTGTCCTCACCAAAAGTATTATAATCCATTAAAAATATCAAAAACTTTGGGAATATATCTTTAGAAACACTGATATTTTAGAAGCCTTCCTTAAAAGTTTTCATTTATTATCTGCTTGTGACATTTATATGATAAATTTAATGTTAGGAACTCCTTGTTTTAGAGAACTGTATGAAGAATTTTCTTTGCTCTGATCTGCCACTGGTAATGTCATCTTTAACTTAAAAAAAATTAAAGTAATATCCAAGCAGGTTTTTGGTAGCAAGCTTTTGCACATCTGTCTTGTTCAGATATATATGCAACCCTAATCAGGCTCTGGAAGGTTTACAATCATGTTAAAAATACTTTGACTTTGTAAATGAGAAGAGATACTTCAAAATGCAGTTCAGTCAACTGCAGATAGGCACAAATTGAACTGTATATAAGTACATAGTATAACTATGAATAAATATTCAAGACATAAGCCTAAAGCAGAGAAGTTCAGAATTTAACTCAAACTTTATTTTGTATAATGAAATTGACCAAAATATGGGCTGGTATTACTCCTTTGTTTTTCTGCTTCTTTGAATCTCCATGAAAATATAATTCCATTCCTGTATCAGTTCTAAACATAACCAACATAATTCTTTTCACGTATGGAAGTGCTCAATGCAGTGTATTTGCTAGAAGCCCCAAATCATGTTCATACTTGTTTAAAATGTGAGATACTATATGCATTTCCAGGCTTTGTTGTGGAGGATTTGATCAGACATTATGCAATTCATGAGTGGATGAGGTTGCTTATGTATAAGGCACCTCCAAAATACTTGGGGTTGTTCTAGAATCTAAAAAGATGATACACAGTCTAATATTTATTTTTAAAATGTTGATATAAATTTATTGAACACTTATAGAAATTATAATTACACTTTAGGTAGTGATATTTTAATTGTGTCTATCATAATTGTCTTTAATTTTGTTAATTGAAAGGAAGGAACTCAAACAAGAATTGCATCAGAGACCCTGGACATGGACTATACATGTATCAGTGACAGTATTCTATTAGGAATTAAAAAACAAGGACAGAAAGAAGTAAGCAGTCCAAGTAAGTTTATTTTTGTTTATCATAATCTGTTATCATTTTTATTATTCAGATAATTGATGCATTAAGATGCTATATCATCTCAGTGTACCTCTTCCTTATGTGGCTATATGACCCTACTCCAAAAATGCATCAAGATAGCAATTGCATCAGGATCATATTAATAGGGGATGATCGTAGTGCATGAAAGGAAAGATGAAAGGATGCATGAAAAGAGTTAAGCCAGGAAGACTGCAGGGAAACGAGAAAAGCCTCCAGTCCAAAAGCAAGCAGCTTAGCAGCAATCCCAGGAAGAGACAGGAATGGCAACCTTTGGAGCAACCCTTCAACAGGCAAGACTAGCTGAGACAGAACAAAAGGGTTGGGGGAGGAACCTGACCAGTGTCTACAAAGAAGCAACTGAAGCAAACTGACTGCATGCAACAGCCAGGTGGAGTTCCATAAACCAGCTCCAGGAAGAGAGGACCATGAATGCTGGGGGAAGAGAGATGAGAAGCCACATACCTCAAGTATATGGAGTAAAAAGGTAAATGGAGTGTGGCTGGCTACAAGAGCTGAAGATATGGGGAAATAGGAAAAACTCAGAATGCTAGGAAATAATCAAGATAGGAAAATATAGAGCTAAGAATGTAGGCATGAGAAAATAGACATAGAACACAGAAATAGAAGTTCATAGATTAAATAAGATAAAAGTAGTTGCACAAAACCTATAGCAATAGGAAGACCCTAGATTAATATAGACAGTAAGAAAATAAGTAGGAAATAAACAGAAATCTAGAGATATCTTTACAATAAGGAATAGGATAATTACCAACCTTTTAATTTGGTATAATAAAACAGCCCCTAGTGGGGCAAAAACATGCAAAAATTGCAGGACTCAGATTCTTCTATTCCTTTATTTTTATTTATTGATTGATTTTACTTTTTTATAATTGCATTGCTATGGTTGTTGAGCTTTTAGGCAGTTAGATATAAAAAATAAAACAAAAAACAGTTAAAATCACTCTTAAACTAGTTCAAGGTTAATTCCTTTCCTAACTGAATGAATGCAATGAACAACTGAATGCAAAGTTTGAAGGCTGAAGGTAACTCCTAATGTAGTCTCCTCTCTTATGCCCCAAAAAAAAGGTCTAAGAAAATGAGCTTCCTCAAGAGGGATTCTCTTGCTGACTTTAATAGCATATAGGTTCAGAGCCTAATCTATTTATGGCTTTAAAAAGTAAAACCAGAAATTGTGCTAGACAGTTGACAATCAATGTATGTCTTTCAATAAGGGCATAGAAGTAGTCCTCGCTTACCGACCACTCATTCAGTGACCATTTGAAACTGTGACGGCACTAAACAATTGGTACTTATGACCAGTCCTTGAAGTTCTGGCTGTCCCACAACCCCCACAGTCACGTGATCGCGATTCAGGCACTTTACATCCTTCCCTGCCGGCTTCCCACAAGCAAAGTCAATGGGGAAGCTGGCAGGAAAGGTCACAAGTCACTCTGGTAAGTCTCCCCAGCCTCCCTGCACTCACACTGCGCCATCCATTCCTTGGCCTTGCATACAGCCTGCGCCAGGCCTCCCCTGCCTCTCCCCTCCCGGCACCCCCACACTCCTTACCTGGGGCTACCACTGCTTTCTACTTAATGACCTGCACATCTTGGGGTTATGACAGCAACCAGGATTGCCAGGATTGTTGTCGCTAAGCGATTTGGTCATGTGATATCACACTTTATGACCGCATCGCTTAGCGACTCTAATCCAGATCCCAATTGCCGTACCTGTAATATGCTCTCAGTATCATGCACTCTTAACAGTAAAGGAACAAGCAGTCAAGAAATATGCTACAGAATAGCACTTGGTAGAACAGCCATGAATGCCTTACAAAAGATACTCAAATGCTGCAATGTGTCTATACCTACAAAGATCAGAATAGTGCAAACAATGGTATTCCCTGTGACACTCTATGGAAACAAAAACTGGACTTTGAAGAAGCAGGATAGGAAGAGCATTGATGCTTTTGAACCTTGGTGTTGAAGAAGACTACTGAGAATACTATGGACAGCCAAGAAAACAAACAAATGGATCATCAAACAAATCAACCCAGAGCTCTCACTAGAGGCACAAATAACCAGGCTCAAATATCACACTTTGGACATGTTTTGTGAAGACCTAGTTCTTAGAGAAGGCTTTAATGCTGGAAAAGGTGGAAGGAAAGAAAAGGGGACAGCTGGTAGCAAGATAGAGGGACTCAGTTACAGTGGCAACGAGTACACAGTTGGAAGACCTGAAAGAGCGGGTTAGGGACAGATCATCATGGAGAAAATCTATGTGGTCTCTAAGAGTCGACAACGACTGCAGAATTAAGAATTGCTCAAAACTGGAAATTTCTAGATAACCTATCATGAATAATTGCCAAGGTAAAGTATGGTCAAGCGCTTTTATGGAAAAAAGTTACAGAATAATAACTCTTCTGTTGATAAATTAAATGTTAGATGTAGCCTATGGTTATCTTGTATTCTTGTTTCTTCATGCCTTACAGAATATTAAAAGGAGTGGGGGATTCAGCTGGTTCATCTTCTTCAACCCCATGGATTAATTTGGGTAATGGTCCAAAGAATCAACTACTTCCTTGAAGTTGGGCTAAGGAACAATAGAATCATATCATCAGTATACTGATGGCACTTTATTCCAGAGCTCTGGGTGCCCCTCTAGCAGTTTCATGTAGATATTGAACACTGTAGGAGACAATAGTAATCACAGTATAGGTATTAATAGTAGTCACCCAACACTATTTGTCTGAATATGGTCTGACAGAAAAGACCAGAATCACTGCAAATTATTGTCTCCAGGGTCCTCCATCTAGCAGTCCAAAAGGATCCTTGATCAATGATATCAAAACCTGCTGAATTTCCAAAAGAACTAGTAGAGCCTATCTAATTTCCAGTGTAAATCATCTATCAAGGCAACTAAATGATCTCAATCACATATCCTGCCCAAAACCTTGAATTAACCAGGTCTAGCTAATCAATATCCTTCAACTGTATCTGGTATTGAAAGGTCAGAACATTCTCTGTTACCTTAGTCAGAAATGGTACGTTTGAGAATGGCAATATTTTTCTAGCTATTCTTAGTTAAGGGACAGATTTATTTAATAATACTTTTTTGTGCTTCCTCCTTCAGGCATATAACATCCCACTTGTAAAGAAGCATTTATTGCTTCCCTTAACTATGGGTCCAGTTCTCCCCAGGTCAATTTAATCAGCCAGAGGCAGGAGTCAAATAAGCAGATCTAGTCCATACCAGACTGGTGTTTGCTATTGTTAAATATTAATGCTCTGCTCTAGCATATTTCAGTGAATTTCATATCACTGAAATTCAAGTGATATGTCTGAACAATTTTATGTGCAAGAAAAATTACAAACTGCTCACTGCAAGTCGCTGATTGCTCCAGCCCCATTCCTTAGCATCTTGGTTGAGGTGTATTAAAAAGTAGCGTCAAACTAATTATGCAAATATAGTGGAGGCAGGGAAGTAAACATTCTTTATTACCACAGCCATCACTGATTCAAATGAGTTTCAGTTGTTACGCAATGGAATTTACTATGATTTCCTCGATTGTGCTGATTCCGCCTTTTAATATTGCATTTTAAATGGAATTATTTATTACATATTGTATTATTATTTATTACAAATTGTATTAAGTTTATTATCATTTACACTCTTTTGTTTATGCTTTTTAATGATTTCCAGTAAGCATCTTTGGACTAGTAAATTAGTAAATAATCTCATAGAGCTCCTAATGCATAGTCCTGGAAAATCAACAATATTTATGAATCTCACAAAAGCTTGGATTTTCACAAAAACATTAGCTTTGTTTTATGTGTATATGAGAGAATAATATACCTACATCGTTTTCTTTTGCATGTAGTCTGATGACATTAGATGTGATTAAAATATTTTACATGCTTAATAAAGTAATAGAATTAAACCAATAGTTAAAACCATCCCTTTAAAGCAATGCCAGGAGTCTCCTAGAAACTAATACATAACTTTCACCTACCTTTTTAAATGGGAAAAATCAGATGGGAAAGCTAAGTAGACATGATTTTGCTGTGTTTATGTCCTACTAAAAGCTAACATCTTTAAGTGTTATGGGCGCAGACGGTCAATATTATTGTTAGTAATTATTGTTACTTGTATTTGTAGAAGGAGAAAAAAGAGAAAAGGATACCTTAGCAGAAATATTTGATCAGACATCTTATGAAGAATATGAATCCTATTTAGAAGATGACAATCTTCCAGAATGTGACCATAAGAATTCTTCTGAGGAAGATGGAAAAGAAAAAAGAAGCATACAAAGTATTTACTTGTTATTAGATTTGTAATTCACCGTCCGTGGCTGAAGACAAATAACTGCTTTATTTTGAATGCACATAAAAGTATTGTCTTCAAAATCTAGCTTTGTATTCAGAGAAAATTTATTCATTGTTACAAATGCTTATAAATCTACGGTTTTCTGTAGCCATATTTCTTCAGTTAGATTTAAATTACATGATGTTCTTTCCAGCATTGTTTATGGCATAATCTATATATTTTCAGAGGAAGGAGACAAACAAAATAAAATGAGGCAGAAGGCTTTTGTGGATGATCCTGCTTTTAAAAGTGATGAAAGGTATTTACTTGTAAAAATTACCATCTATGGAGTTAAGTTTCCTCAGAATATAAATCTTAGTTACATTTTCCCCACAAATGATAACATAGCAAAATTAAAAGTTTAGTCTGAAAGAATTTAATCAGCTTTGAAAATATTCCTAAAAATATAAATTAAATGGAAAAAATACAAAGTATTTTGATAGATTTCACATGAATAAAATCTCTTTCTGTCTCTCTAAGTACATGCCCATATCTTTATTTAATTATATGTTAGTCCATAAGGAAATCAGTAAGAATATAATACAAAAAGTAAATGGACCCTTTTTATCATTTAAGTTTCTGTAGATTTGTCCATGACTCTAGGCAGGCCTGCACAACGTGTGGCCCACTGGCCACGCGGTCTGCCAAGCAGCCTTGTGTAGCCTGCTGGCATTTTTTAAAAACAAAACAAAATCACCACCACCAGGAAGGATCCACCTTCACTGCTGCCACCACCCCAAAAAACACACTGCTGAGTGCCTCCAACACCTTCAAGCCTCACTAATGCCACAGCTCCATTGCTGCTGCCACTCTGCTAACCACCAAACAGCTGATTGGCATGCCAGCTATTTTCTTACAGCCTGCAATTATTTTTAATTTATCAATGTGGTCCTTTCCCCCCTACAAGTTGTGCCGGTCTCCTCTAATGTATACTTAGAAAATTGAGAAAGGTTGATGGACACCATTAAAATGGTGAGAGAATTCTCGTCATTCTTGACACTTGCTTGACATAAATACCCAGAAAGTTTCCAGAAAGGCAAACTAATAAAGGCAAGTTCAAGTAGCTGAAGTCAACTCAGAGATGTGGTCTGTATTCAGAAACCCCAACCAGTTCTTTGAATTAATTGTTATGCAACGGAAAGTGAAATTGATGAGGTTAAAGAACTGCCTAATTTGAATACAAAACAGAGATTGTATAAGCCCAACAGTTGAACCTTTCTCTTGCTCAGGATGCCCCATAGAGCGTCTCTAACAGGCTCTTATTTGATCCATCTTCTCAGCACATAAGATCCAATCACTTACTATATTTTTCCTTTGGAATTTCTTTTCCCTAAAGTACATATTCAGTAGTCTGCCTATTTTTGGCTAATATAGTGAAGTCATTTTGATATCAGGAGAATTTTAGTAATAATTCTCGCGGTCTCTTTTTTCCTTTTTTCTTTTCATCAATTTTGTGATAGCAACACACACACACACACATGTATAAAACTGGAAAAATATTCAGAAATACTGTTAACTGTAAGAGTGTTTTCATGATTCTTTATTTTGTATATTTATAACTAGGGACAAAATCAAATTTTGACAGCAATGGAACAGCTTGTGCAATTTTTTTAACAGTAGAAAGTTTAGACCTTTGTCATTTCTCTGCTTACGTTACAGAACAAACCTTGTATTGGGTTTTCCTCACATTGAAGTAGTGCGGAAAAAAGAAGAAAGAAGAAAATTACCTGGCCACACTTGTAAAGAATGTGAAATAGTAAGTATACAGTGGGTCTTGTATACTGTTTTTTTATTATTCACTTATACCCTAATTTTCAAATGCAAATAAATGTGTGGTATTACTAAGGAATTGGTACATGAATGAAATTTTCATTGAACCATACTTTTGAATGTTAACCTGTCTGCATCTGTGAATTGTCCTGAATATAGTCAGAATAAATTTGAAGTACTGTGCCTAGTTCTTAGTCACATATTTTGAAAATGATGTAGATAAAACTGACTTGTGACTGGAGGAAGGTAGCCAAAAATGGTGAGGGATTAAAACAAGTCCTATGGAGAAATGTGAAAAACTAAGCATATTCGCATTGACTTATAAACCATGAATTCTTTCTTAGAATGGGTTTGCATGTCACATTAAATCAAAAATAAATGAGCCACATTATGGGCTTAGTATAATGTGGGAATAGTTAAGGGGAGTGATATGATAACTATCCAAAGAACAATTACAGTAGTACCTCGGTTCACGAACGCTTCTGTTCACGAACAATTCGGTTCACGAACAGCTCCGTTCG